TCTTTTTCTCTCTTTCTATTGAGAGCACAAATTGCGTCGTTGTAATCGTTCAACTCTCCTTGTTTTACAACTTATGAGATATAAAACATCAAATTGTTATAGATTTGCTTTATATTATATCGTACGTATACGCGTTATGTACACAGAAAGAAAGAATATTCTTCTTCTGAAAATGTGTTTAGTTTTAACGCGAAAATCGTGAAATGAGATTATATTGCGTTAAAGGAAGAAAAACTTACTTGAATGAAGCAATTTTATATAATTCAATCGAGAAAAATATAGAGAAAAGTCCTCTATTATGAGATAGGTTTCCGATATGAGACAGCAGGTTCTCAACACCCAAATTCAATCACAAATCTTTTTTCGCAACGATTACACAATTTAACAATGAATTTTCCACTAAACAGATATCGCTCCAGGGGCAATAAATTCATGGTGGAATCAACTGATGGTGCCTATTAATTTAACAGAAACTCCGCAATATTAGTAGCCTATCTCACAATAGGAGAAAGAAAACGATATTGGATAGAAAATAATTTCAAATCAAATAGAGATTAAAATGTTTAAAATGATTTTATTGTCAAAATAATTATTCTTGAAGTGAATTATAGATTTAAATAAGACTGCAATATTGTTGGAATGTAAGATTATTAAATGCTTCCAAGAAAATTGTAGATTGTTGCGTATGTAAAAAGAAAAGCGTTAATTTGAGTATATAAGAGTTGATCTGACACTTTTTTTTCGGTGCAGTTGTTACTCTCCTAAACAAACCATAGGAAATTATATAAAAACAAGATCCGTTTAAAAGGCATCTTGGTTGAAAATCGTTCCCCCCTTGTGTTACTCATCCGAAATTGCTACGATAACGCTATCAGTCATTAATTTCTTCCATCGTCGAAAGGACGTTGGGCGCAATAATCCGAGCTTAGATGATCGAATGCGATTAGAGGCGCGATTGCTGTATCTATAATGCGTTGTCGGGGGCGAAATATGACGAGCTGTCTTTCAGACAGCGATGAAAGTAGAGCCCCTAGGTAGCTGATAAACAGAGGGGGATCGCCGGAGAGAAAATAGTCGCCCGTGGTATAGGAGCGTCTAATCCCGGATGAGAGAGAGACGACGGCGGATGTGCCACGACGACGATGACGTTGCGAGGGTGACGGAGGTGGGAGCGGGAGGCGGCGCAGACACATCTCTCGGATTACGTCTTAACAAGCTTCACGACGTTCATTTGTCTTATCCGCTGCCGCTAATGCGACGCAGCAGCTGTTGAAATGATTAATTCGGCGCCCTCGTTCCTTTCCGCTCCGCTCCGTTCCGTTCCGTTCCGTTCCGTTTCACGTTCGAGCACCACCGTGTCCCGACTTAGTCGTCGTCGTCGTCGCAGACGTGTCGCGGTTAATCAGCGCAATGCGGTTAATCACCGTCGGCTGCGAAATACAAAGCCCGAACGAATGGCACCTCGTTCGAGGCGCGTAAACGCGATTCGCGAGGGGGAGAGGAAAGCGAGGCTCCGGGCCCCGATGGAGTTCGAATTCTAACTGGAGAACGCGTATAAACTCTCGGCAGGTGTCGAATTGTTCTCGCGAAGAAGCTCGTTTACCGCTCGTCATTGCTACACGCGGGACGTTCTCGTCCGCGCTAAAGCCTGAACCGCTACAAAGCTCGTAGATACCGTTACGGCACGCGTGTTTCAAGAAACGTTAATCGCTTCAATTTCAATCCCGATCGCCGCGGCGCGGCGTTTCGCAATCGCATAAACGCGAGTGGAATTTCGGGCGCGCGCGATCGCGAGCAGCCCTACATCCTCGCGCCCTGTCCAAACACGGCAGACGGAGACGCGGGCGCGCGATCTGATTGGATTAATTTTCAATTTGCGAGGGCCACCTGTCGCCGACAGCGGATCGTCGATCGCGCCCGCCGTTCGATGAGTAATCCGCGAGAACGAGAGCCGCCCGGCCGCGACTCCTAACAGCCCTAGCTGCGTGAGGGGCGGAGAGGAAAGCTCTCCCGGTCGCAGCCGTGAGAGAGAGAGAGAGAGAGAGGACAAAGAAGCGGCACGGCGCGACAATTGCGCCTCGTCGCGCGGATATAGGGTTACAGGCGGGCGCGAGCGGAGAAAATGAGCGGCGCATATTAAGCCGGTCACGGCAAAATGGCCGACGCGGCGCGCGGACGGAAGAAAAAAAAATGGGGACGCGTATTCGTCCCTCTTTCTCTTCGTCGAGCGGACGAGGCGCGTAACGAAACGCTCGACACACTCCGGCGTGTACACATATAGAAATACACGCACATAGCCGCGGGGCTCACGTCGACGTGACGCGGGTCGAAATTCCGCCGCGCCGGCGGCGCATGCGCGACGCGCGCCGAGCGCCGATCGAAAGCCCCGCCCGGCGACAGTCTTTGTTTAATCCATGTGATATCTACGCCCACGATAGCAGCGGCGTAGTCAGAGATCCTGCTGCGCGGATCTCGCGACAGAGAGAGAGAGAGAGTGCCCGTTAAACAAGTTTCTCAAAATTATATCTACATAAATTAAATGTAGAGAGAATTAGAGTGAAAATTTTATTTTTCGCCAAGATATGCCCCTTTCGAGAGAAAAAAAAACAAAGAAGTCGCTTGTCCTTCCTTGCAGCTCAGCCGTTTTATTAGCATATTCGCGTGCATTGTCGTACATAATTTTTTGTCGCGAAACTGAGAGAAATAAAATGAATGGCTTGCAAGATTAATATGTTACTGAAAATACAGGTGAGAGAGCTATTGAATCTTCTTTGTCGAAGGCATTTGGAACATACATTACGCTACTGCCTGCTGCATGCGACCAACAAACCGACAACTCGATCGTTCAGTTTCTAATCGTTTATGATCAAACGAGCCGAATAGAATCGCTCCCCGACTATTAAAGATCGTTTACAAGTCAATTTTGAAGTTATTTCTGACGTAGAATGCGTTATCCTCGCATAAAATTTCAGACATTGCCGACGTTTGGAAGATATTCGACGAGCATGTGGGTAATTTTACAAAATGGAGGATTCGGTTAGAGGAATAAGGCAACTTTCTATGATTAGCTTTTATTTTATATAAAAGCCATTTTATGTTTAAAACGGAACTTACAAACTTACTTCATTTCATGCGCACTAGACTTCTTAATAAAATGTATTGGGTATATCGACATAACTTCATTAATGTATCAATACGCGAAGTTACATACAATTCGAAGCATATATGCATTTACTTCACGTGTGCCTCGATAATTTCGTGAATTAAGATATTAATAATTTCGTGTATACTCGGGAAAATATGACTACGGGACAGATTCCTGTCGAACGGTAGCGTGGCCGAGCGGTCTAAGGCGCTGGTTTAAGGCACCAGTCTCTTCGGAGGCGTGGGTTCGAATCCCACCGCTGCCAATTTTTTTTTCTCGCGCGAGTTCACTCTTTTTTTTTTTACGCTTGATAAGAAACCTTACTGTCGCACTTTTAGTTGATCACAACGGGATTAGCCGTTTACGCGTGAGATATAATCCACGTTTACACGTATGCAATGTAAACTATTAGCTAATTCGACTGCTTGCACTAGTGCGCACTGACAAGTGAACCTACCCAAGTGGGGACACACAGATTTTGATGAGTGTTGAATATGTTGTTTTTCAGCTCAAAATAAGGGACACGTATTTTTTTATACGTACCCATACGCACTTTTAGATGGTGAAATACCCCTTTGCAGAAAATTCAATATCGATGAATGTCGATTCGACATCAATTTGACGGTGTCGATGTCGATTCGGCATCGTTTCGACGAATCATTTCTCACTGGGATGTAAACAGTGAGTAATCCATGGATCATGGAACATTCATATTTTGTCAGAAATAACGGAAATTTATGTTTCGCTTGCAATTTTGTCTTCGGTTACTACTACTTAGTTTGGACACAATTTTTAGCTACGGTAGATCAGATTAGCGTAGATATTAATTAATATCTTTAATATTAAACATCATGTATATTTTACATAATATAAATAATTTTACATATTTTACAAGTGCATTGTAACTACAATGCATCTAATTTGACCGAGTTTAAAATTTGTTTATTTTTTAAGCCTGTAAAAAATAGTTTAAAAGTTCAATTGATTAAACAATCAGTTAATTAATAATAATTTGCATTGTCTACATGGAAGAGGTTCGTGTGAACAGAACGTAAATAAAACAGCTCGTGTATATGTAATTCTGCAATTTACGGCGCAACCTTAGATTACAACACTGTAATTACGAGTAATTGCAGACGGTTTTACGATTATTCGATCGTCGATAAACGATCGCGCTGCTTATCGGCATGTTAATTACGTCGATAAAACAGATCTCACAGACGATCTTATCAGACTCGAGATAAACGGATTTGAATAATAGGATTACGTGGGCCCTACTGTTTCTGCGTAGTTCAAAAACATCGCGTTCGCGTTGGCGACGTCTGCAGACGACGAGATAAGATATGGACGAGCAACGATTCGGCGTACGAGATTATAGTAGCGTTTACTCCGCGGAAGTTCTGCCGCTTTATTCAGTTCCCAAACGCGCGTGCCACGACGACTGTTTAACTGTGCGTAATCGCCTCGTACTTCGAAAACAGATAAATATTGTCACGCTACCACGCACGTCACACCGAGGTGGAACGAGTTGAAATGAGACAGCGCGGGTACAAGTCCACAGTTCAACAGCGATCGGCTGACAAATCGCGGCTCAGTTTTCGCTTCCCTCTCCTCGAGAAGGAGACAGTCGCGAGGAAATCGTTAATGGGATTAAAATTTTTCGTAAAATTAGTGATTCATATTTTTCTCCGAGTACGAACGTTTACGTCATTCCGAGACGCGTAAAAATATTCCGAGAGATTAATCTCAACCCAAGAAGTAATACGGGGATTGAATTAATTGGAATGAAACGAAAAGACCAAAAGTCTCTACTCACTTCAATGCTTATTGAAATTGCACTAACAACAACGTAGTCTTGTTTTTAATTCACCTCTTTACTCATGTTGATTCATGTACAAAATGTTTACTAAAGGAGGAAGGAAAACAGTTAGAAAAACCTTTTCATAAATCGTGTAATCTACTTAATAATATCAGTAAGGTATTTCGCCACTTAACAGATGATTCTTGGCCCGCCCTGTATACACAATATTCTTTATCGTATTCTTTTCTTGTCAGAGTAAAATCTTAACACATCGCCGCGGAGGATCTCGCTTGTCTTGCTCCGATCTCGCATGCTGGAAAGCATCTCAAGGAGCCGGATGGAGGACGATTCGCTCTAGTTTAATAATGCTCCGTTCCTCGCTCGTCCTCTCGCCGCCAAGTGTCGAAACTGAACTGTGAACATCGCGAGACTGAAGCCAGAAGAGTAGGTCTTTTACAAGAAAGAAAAAAAAAGGGGCAGCTTCTCTGAAGTTTGAAAACCTCGAGTCGCCCGTCGTCAGAGACAGAGATAAAGCTTTCGGTGATACGCCTTTCCGTCGAGGAGATCCGATAAAAAGATACCTCGTTGCCTCGCGGCAGTCGTGGCCTCTGAGCCCGCGACGTACAAAAAGTCCGATCAGTGATATCCTCTCCGCAGTCGTAAAGACAGTCCGTACTGGCCGGCAAGAGCCTTGCGAGGTGCCAGATACCGATCTGCGAAGAAAGTGAGAGAGAGAGAGAGAGAGAAAATTGCATCAGTATTCGACGAGAAGCGTGGTGTGTAAAGTCATCGCTTAACCCGGAGAAGCTGTGTAACACGGCAGTCTCGCTGTCAACAGTGTTATTGTGTTCTCCGAGCGACCGCTACTCGGTCGCGTCGACGTTACAATCGCGATCTCTCCCGAGATCGGAGATATCGGACGTGTCTCGTAATTAGCCGATACGCCTGTACTCCGAAAGTACTCGCGATCTCGCGCTCCGTTCTGTCCGCGTGACGACGCGCACGTGCCTAGCCGCCTGCGGGCTCTCGCGACACACACCGTCGGCCACTCGAGTCCAATTGTTTGCGCGGAGAGAGGCCCTCGAGTGCCGCCGTCGAGGAGCGAGCGATCGTCGCGCAGATCCTCCGAGATTATCCCCTCGATCGCACCGCGGGCATGCTCGCCGCGGACGACAGCAGGATCGTGCGCGCTTCCGCGCGCGAGACGATCGAGCTGCACATCCTGTCCTTCGCCTACGGCCTGCACCTGATAGTCCGACGGTTCCTCAGGTGGATATGGGACCCGAAGAAGTTCTTCATGCTGCGGCAGCGGGACCAGCCGCCGCCGTGTCTCGTCGACAACAGTATCGGCACGCATTCCTACGTGAAGATCAAGGTGAGTCTCGTCTGTATCACGTGTCCAGATGACGTGTTCGAAATCTATGTAGGTTCGAAATCTCTTCCGAGAGAATATATTTAGATGTCTTCTGAAACGTCGCTGAACGTCGCGAAAGAATCCGCGAGGACGAGCGGGTTCGTCACTTGCAGGGGAAACTTTGAGATGCACTTATCTCTTGCCAGATTATAAGTGGTGTCGTTATTACATAATTATTACATAATTATACTCTTAATCGTAGACTTATGTCGCAACGTTATCTCGCCCTCGACTGTCCCTCACGATGCGAATCGAGATGTTTGTACGCTCGCGTGTTGTCCAAAGGACGAGGGATTGAATCCTCGCGATGTAATCGAAAAGATGCATATGTATCTGAACTTCGTATGAGTCTCGTCTTGCGACACTCGAGTGAAGAATAAACACGTTGCACATTAACGATAACCGGATATTTTTAGGTCGATACGCCCCTTGTCTGTTTTCTTTTTGGATATAATTAATTGTGATTTCTGACAGCGAGCGTCGAAGCAGATTTGAACATACGACCTGTGACATAAATAAACGCGTAAATAGGAGGCTCCTTTATATTTATACGGTCTTATTTAAATACTCTAATTGCCACTTCAAGAATACATATAGTTATTTTGACAATACAATCATTTTAATCTTTATAATCTTCGATTTGAAAATGTTACTTTCTGTCCAATATTGTTTACTTTTCATTCAAAAAAATTATTCTTAAATAATAAGTATATATTCTCGATTGAATTATACAAAATTGCTTCATTCAAGCAAGTTTTTCATCTTTTAATGCAATATAATCT